CAGCCATATGGCAAACATCAGCAACCGAGATAACCATTTACGTTTCCCTTATAATCTTGAACAGAAACAACTCTCAGATGTTATTTTTGTTCATCCTTCAGAAGTAATCTAAAATAAACTAATTGCTAGAAGTACTTAATTCTCTTACATTTGCATGAAAGTCTTAACTTTGTACAAATCACAGACATCACCGTGTACGTTGCAGACATCTGGAGTTCTTTTCCACCCTTTAAAAACATTAAATAAGTTTTTTTTCTTGTGCCATCTGTACTGGTAGGAATTTTTCTTGCCAATTTTCATTACCAAACAGTATAGAAAATACTGATACACCTCTTTCTTCATGACAAGCAATCCAGAGTTTCTGATATGATGTGCTTGCTCATAATTTCAGATACTGGGATAAATTTTTCTGCCTTTTGCACAACACTTCAGGACTGTAAATAGTTTTCTGTAGAATCCCAGAGAGAGAGTGAGGTTCAGCTGGTCTGAACTACATGCTATCTTACATTGCTTCCTGAGATATGAACCCCTCTCTGAATTCATTACCACACTCAGAAAACAAAACATCTTGGTATTGCAGAAGGCTGTGAACGACTAAAATGAACTGAAGTTTATTTATTAAAAAAAATCTTACATGAGTAGAAGCAATTAAGTTATCAATAATTAGATTGAAATTTAAATGTAAAATAAAGTTCAAATAGCAAAAAGTGATTCTCTATTTGAAGGTAACAGGAGGAAGTAAGCACCCTTTGCTAGATGCTTTGTTTGAATTGTTAATCAAATCGGTTTTGATGGTGAGAAAGGAACCCTAAACCAAATAAGATCATTTGTTTTAGACATCTGTCTGGGGATAGGTGTATCACCTTCTGAAGACAGTTATCTCTTTTTATTATCAAGCAGGCAGCAGCAGCATGACATTTAGCTAAAAAGTCTATAGTTGACTGGATAAATTCAGGTGAAATGGATCCTACTTGAACTATAGCTCTTCAGGAAATTAGAAATTCAGCATGAGGTTTCCAAAACGAATTTTTGAAAAGTGTACTAGACCCACATTGAACAAAATATTTTGCGCAATGTAAGGAAACCTGGTAGCAAGTCAAAGAGTTATTCAATGTAGCTAACTTCAGACATCTGTAATCCAGTGGTTTAATAGTTGTTGATATATTTAGTGACTTTTAAAATGCTCTGGAGTATCCAAGATATCTGCTTAAGACTGGCAAATATAATAGAGATTCACAGGAGACCTGTCCTTCTAGAACGTTACTGGAGACCAGCTGAGATGCTCCTGGATGTCTCAAATAGCACTGAAGGCCTATGCTTGTCTAGTGATTTGAGTCCTGAATTTCTACATCTGAGCTTGTCGTGGAGTCACTTGCCCTATAATCAAAGGAAAGGAACAGACACTTCTAAGGCGTAATTCATCATAGCCTGAAAAGTCCAAAATATGCAGATAAGTCACAAAGTAGAAATGCCTTTTTCCATTTAGTGAGTATGTTGTGAAACTAGGTGACTAACATATGTGCAGAGTTTGTACTGCAGATGTCTAAGTGTGAGTGGATATCCATCATAGAAAGAAATCATTATAAACATTTCTGGGCCTGGTTAATTTGCTTATTGTAGATATATGCTACGGAAGACACAGATGTCTGTTCTTGAGTTCGGAGCTCTAATTAATCACCTGAACTTAGCCAAGGCATGAAAAAGCTTTTCCTGTCTCATGCAGCTTTGTGTGACAAGTGGTACCTATTCCTTTCTATTCTTGCTAATTCCCTTTCGAGTTGTTCCCTCCTCCAGACCCCAGGGATGTTTCCCACCAGCCATTTCTTGCTCTGCTAACTGCTCTCAAAAGCTGCATTTCCTTACTGCGATGGTCACCCCTGTTGCTATGCTGTCTCTTCTCCACTGCTGATTGCACTGCAGGACACTTCAGTGAAGTGTGAAGCTTTGCTAACCAGTATTTCTTTTATTTTCTTTTTTTAGTCGTATTAAATATAAGAACGCACATAGCAAGCACATTTCCATAACCTACAGAAGTTTTCTAAACAGTTCTTTCTATTTCCTAACTGTTATCACGGATAATAAAACTACACATGCAAAATGAACCCATTTCAGGTTGGTAAAGATGATCCTTTCCATTTATCTCTCCTCTCTCCACCAAACACCAACAGAGTGGGCACTCCTCTTTGGAAGTTGGTGCAATGCTGTTGAGGGAGTTTTGCTTTCACTTTAAGGTTTTAATTATCAGTCCAAATATGGATGGAATTGAATTAATTTTAGGCTGGATATCTACATTGTGTGTTCTTCTGTATGAGTTCTTTAGTATATTGAACTGAGCCCTTCTAGAGCTTGGTTTGTATTAACCAAACCCAGACATCCAAAATAGATCAGATGAAGTACATTTAAGCAAATGTTTCTCACTTTCTTCATTTGTAATCAAGGGAGTCCAGGTAACTGTCTTGGGTGTAGACATCTACACCGTAGATGAAAACACTAAGAGTAATCCAGAATATAACATTAATAAAGAAATAGTCTATAAATTGTGTTTTGACTTATTCTGAACTGAATAAAGCAAGCAGGTAGGCAAGAAGAGATGTGCAATAATACATATACAATGATATTGATGGATTTATTTTGCTTACTTTATGGTATTTTCTACACACTCATGTTCTTTTCTGTATCACCTCCCAACTGTCAGCAAGATTATTTACCTGTTTGTTTCTCTGCTTATTTATTTATTTTTAAGATGCACAGCTATGTAGTCCCAAGCTTTATTCAAATTAACTATATTCACATGCCATATAGTTGTGTCTGAACCTGCAACTCATTAAGAATTATTATTCCCTTTTTTTTGAACAGAAAGCAACCCTCTGGAAGCCAGAAATTTACTTGTCTGTTTTTGCAGAGCTTCCCTTACTTCTTTATTTCTCAGACTGTAGATGAGAGGATTGACCAAGGGAGTAAGAATGGTATAAAAAACAGAGAAGACTTTGTTTGGAGACATTTGGGTATCGCGATGAGGAAGTACATAGACAGTTAATATTGACCAGTAAAAAAGTATCACCACAATAAGATGTGAGGAGCAAGTGGAAAAGGCCTTTTTTGGAATTCCCATGACCGTGATAATGATGCAGAGATAGGATGAGAAGGTCAACAGAAATGGAGGCAGTGAGCACACACCTGCCACAACAGAAGTGACAAGTCCTGCCACATGAGTACCACTACAGGAGAGTTTTATCATTGGGAATGAGTCACAGAAAAAATGTTCAATTTCATTAGGCCCGCAAAAATCTAAGGTTGAGATCAGGAATGTTAGTATAGAGTTAGATAGAAAGCCACTTATCCAAGATGCAACAGTCAGCTGGAGACAGAGCTTGCTGTTCATTCGGGACGGGTAGTGCAGGGGTTTGCACACCGCTAGGTACCTGTCGTAGGACATCACTGCGAGGAGATAGCACTCTGCAGCTGCCAAGCAACCAAAGAAATAGTACTGTGTAAAACATCTGTTGACCGAAATACTTCTGTCTCCAACCAGGTAGCTAAGCAGCATCCTCGGCAAGATGTTTGAGCTGTAGCAGATTTCCAAGCAGGCCAAATTGCCCAGGAAGAAGTACATTGGGGTGTGAAGTTGCTGATTAGCCAATATCAGCACAATGATGAAGAGGTTTCCAGTTATGGTCGCAATGTAGATTGACAGAAACATCAGGAAGAGAAGAGAATCCAGCTCAGGGCCATTCCCAAATCCCAAGAGGATGAACTCTGTAACAACTGTTTTATTATTCCTCTCTTGCTTTGTCATAACTTTTGTTCTAATGACAAAACAGGAAATGTTAGCACCAGTGAAGACCTTCACAATTAAGACTCAGATAATGAAAGTTTCCTCACAGAATAGACAAGCAAAGAGGAAAAAAATCTTTGCATTATCAGACTTGTCGCCTGATTTCTATAAAGATTTCTCACATACCACGTTACTTATTATTCCATGTACTGAGAAGGGCACTTAAAGCTGAAGTAATGCCCGTGCTTCTTCTCTGACACAAGGATACTTTCCAACATGTTTCTAGTCTGCGCAAGCAAATTAAAAATCAACAAAATTCTTTCATTGGATGCCATCACAAGTTTTGTCATATTCCTTTCTGTTGTGAAAAAAAGAAGTATTTGATTCAATATTAAATTAGCCGTATTTCCATTGCTAATATGTATTGAAGCATATTATATACATGTATCATGACCTTTAATGCAGACATTTCTCTGATTTGAAAGAGTCTGAAAAAGAATCCAACTTCCACCAATGAAAATAAGTACAGAGAACATCTGTACCATCCTCAGTATATGTTTGCCCTGCCAAAAAAACACTGAACACACACAAAGGCACCTTCCAGTTGTCTCACCCTTCAGTCTTGTCAATGAGTAGAACAAAGGATTCCAGACTTAAAGAGTTTAACTCACTCTAAAACAGAATGTATCATGTTGTGAAAGTATCTCTCTCTTGTCACCGAGAACTCAGAGAGACTGTAGTTGCCAGACCCTTAACAGTTTAGATAAATCCTACTGCTTGTCACAGTGCTCATTTTGATTTCCCTCTCATATGTACTGAACCCTTACTCCCAAGATTTCCTTACAAATTCCATTTTCCGACAGTTGAGATCTTGGCTTATTTTTTGGATTTGTTCAGTACAAAAATACTCAAAAAAAAAAAAGTAAATAATTCAATGGCCAAAACTAGACACAATACTGTGGTTAAGGCTATACCAGCAAAGGAACTGAACAGAAAACCTACTTCTTTTTCCTTCTGTATAGACTTTTGTCAGCTCTGTTTTTACCCAGATGTGCATGGATTTGGGAGAGGTATTAGCAATGCATTCATGGGGTGCATTTTTCAAGCCCATGCACCTGGCAACACAAATTCCATCCATGACCCTTCACAGACCAGGAGGGACAGCCTTCAGCCCTGGGGTTCCCTTAACACATCCTCCATTACAAATGCAACTTTGGTGGTTTTTTTTCCCAGCCCACTGTCTTCCCAGATCTAGAACTCCAATTTAGCAGCACCCATTTGAGCCATATTCAGTGGGATTAATGCCACCTACCTTGGAACATCTGCATCTGAGGCACTCACCTCAGTCTCATCTTACAGCCTGCAGGAGAAGTAAGGGCTTTGGACTGCAGTCCATCCAATATGTTTTATGTGTCTACTTTGTATAAGCTAAATCATCTAAGGAAATTATCTGTTTCTTTCCATTGACGATAGCAGGAGTTTAGATATTACTTCAGAAGACAGCTTCTGCCATGCAGACTGCACCTCTTTTTTGAAGTTGCTCACCACCTTTAGGCACCACAGGGAGGTGACCAGACACTATAGCAGTGAAGGCCATATAAGGACATCCATCCAAAAACGTACATCTGAACCACTTATGATGGCATAACTTTGTAAGACTTACACGTTTCTTTCCACAGATCTAATCTCAAATTTTCCTTTAAACTCTTATGCATTCAAACCCCTAATTTTTAGTCAATTTGCCAACATCTGACAACTGAAAACTTTGGAAGTGTGCCTCATTTCTGTGTCAATCAACAAACATTTCAGACCAACACTGTTTCTTACCTGAAACCACAGGAACATTGAAATCCAATTTAAAAATCTATCTCTTCTCAAGGTTTTATATTCATCTTTATTTTCTGTAAGTGCTTGATTTTTTCATGAAAAAAAAAAGAGAATCAGAGCTCCTTTTTTGTCAAAGACCCTCCCCTCCCAATAACTTCAATCTCTTCCTCCTTTTTTTTTTTTGCCAACTGAATATACCAACTCTTCTTCTCCATTCTGTGGGTAGAGAGTGTTCCTCCCTTCACCTCACTCCTTAAAAGACTTTTCAGAGCTGAGACTAGTGAAATACCCCAGGGGATAATCAAGCAAACAAAAACCTTGGAGAGCTGGTTGTCATCAACCTTATAAGCACATAAAGAACCATTCTTTTCCTGTACACTTTGATTAGAATTAGTATTTTCTTAGCCTGCATTTTAATTACTTTGGGTCTGGATGGAATTATATTGGTAGATAGGATGACAACTGAATGAAAGCTAACTATGATGGTCATCACTGCTATCAAATCAGCACTGTGTTCTGCAGACGTGTTGAAATCTAGAACTGACTAGGGCCTGGATTCAATGCCAGGCAGCTATCCGACTGTCAGCTATTTCAGTCATCCTCTGGACATGTTGCTTGATCTTTTCTGCAGGATGACTGTGTTCCTAGCTGTGGTATCACAAATAAGTGAGAGGATTTTTCCAAGTCCTGGTTTTTAATCTCAACTTCCCAGCTGCATTCAAGAAGACTAGGTAGACTGTGATTTGTTAGTCAATGTTTGGACTGTTTAGTCTCCAAGATCAGACAGAAACAGCTCAATGGATAAATATCTCTTGGCAAAGCACAACTGTGAGCCTCAAAAAGAAAAAAAACAAAGAAAAAAAACAGCACAAGAACATGGGGAAACTCAAAGACCACATGAAAAAAGCGAAGTCCCCAAAAAGTAGAAAAGACAGTTGTATTATGCAAGTACCACTAGATGGCAGTGTAGGCAAAACGATCCGAAATACCAATTTCTAGCACAGTGACTTCGGCCTGTTTCGGTGCAGAGCTGGTCCTAGCTGAACTGCAGAGACTGAATGTCACCCATTTTGATTGCTAACATGAGATGGAATAAATCTGCCTCAAAAATACAAAATCTACCTGTTGACTTTCACATGGGATACCCTTAGATTCCCACCAAGTAGTGGCTCTGTCAGTTCCAGCATAGAAATAAAATGCTTGTGTTCAAGCAGACAGTCTCGGCTACATCATTGCCATGGTCTCTGTGTGTGAGTGTCATCTAGAGGCTTTAGTTTGGAGGACAAGGCACGCGAGAAGACAAAGCTCTGTTCCTGGTGCCAGAATGCCTTCATGTAATAAATTCACACGCTATTAATTTGTACCTAGCCTCAAGTATCTATTTACAAACTCCATCTGGAAAGTAAAGAGAGAATAGCTACTGGGCGGTTTGAGTCTTTCAGTAACAAAATTGTCACCTGAAGAGGCTATGGAAACTCTCAGAAGTGTCTGTCTCTTTCCACTGAGAGAGCTACACTGAATATCTAGTTGATTTCAGATATCCATATACCTAGTTAAAATAGTCAAATGTTCAAGAGGCTAAATCTGGGTAAGATGACTCCAGCTTCTAAGTATCTAAGAAGATTTCTGTCCTCCTTTTTAAACCTGGGAATGATTGCTCAGCACTTGAGTCCTAGCTGCCATGTAGCTTAGCCATTAGCCCCAGCTCCCTTGCTACCAGATGGTACCCTAGTGCCTAGGCTATGGCATGATTCTTCATAGGTTCTCTTCCATTTCTCTTAATGACTTCTGCCATGGGGTGGAAAGTAATTCAAGGTTCATGAGTGCTGAAAGGGACTCAGTGAGGGACGGTTCCTATCCACAGTGATGTTCTGTACACACTGTGTGCGATGTAAAATGCATTATCTGCTGCAGAGGAGAAAAAGGTAAGCCACAAGGAGGAGATTTTGTATATCTCAGGTGAGTATCTACATTTGGGTATATGGAAGGCTTATAGCTGGTGCTTTTGTGTATTAAGGAAGAGAGAACAAAATGAAAATGTTAAGAATTATCTTTCTTCAGAAGCATTCGTACTGTAACCATATAACCCTGACTCTGAATTGCGTTTGGATATTGTTCTAAGCAGGTGTCCCACCAGCATCTTGCCAATAAAGATAGCAACTTCCTGACGGATTTATTAGAATTTCAATTTGCTTTTGGGCTATGTGACTACTTGATATACAAGTCAATCAGCCAAACTGAGCATTAACAGTAAGTAGGCCCCAGAGACAGGTAATAAAAATGAATGCTTTAGGCTGTACAGAAAAGGAATTTCAGAGAGATGTACAGGAGCTTCTCACTTTACCTGTTGGACACGGGTGGAAATCTTTGCAAAGATAAACTAAAAGAAGAACACATAACTACAAAATGAGATTTCTGCTTACCTGACCCTAAAGGTTAAGAAGATTTCATCTGGCCAAATCTGACACTGAATAAACTCCAGTTAACTTCGCTTGACAAGGAGCTTTTTCTCTTCCATGAAATTCAAGCTGTATCATGTGTATTGAAAACTTGATTAATTTACTTAATCCTACGTGTCTAGTGTCATTTTAAGTTCATTTGTTTATTTTTTTTTCTTGCCTGCATTTTGCTTAAGAAGCATGCAGGTCTACAGCAAGTATTGTGTTACATCTGCCATTAGCCTGCAGAAATCTTAGACAGAATAAGATCAACATTCGAGTAGCTGAACCCTACACCCAGCCCCAGAATCAAACACTTAACATTGCAGTTTCTGCCATGTAGGCCTGTACACATCATTGTGAAGTCTAAGCTCCCATTTGTAGTCTATGGAGATTTGGTCAATATGGCCTGGGGAGCTATTCAGCTGATCAACCTACAGTGGGTTTCAGGTGCAAAATACAGGAGCCAAATACCATTTCATATGCTCTAGGGTACCACAGGCAACAATAGCATGGCATAGGACCTATGGGAGATCCTTCTAGAGTGATAGCTGAAGTTCTGATATCTTTGAGCATCTGAAATAGTCCTGGATGCCTGTGGTAAGGCAGTTTATTGAACTCCTTGCTCAAGAGACACCTGAATTGGAGACTTCTAAAATTAGTTTGGATTGAGTTTGGACGCCAACGACTGATGAGGACTCGGTTCGTTACTTGCAAAGTTGTTGATCATGGATAGAAAACCTGTGTTCAGTGTTT